AGGCAGGCCCTAGGGCGACGCAGCAGGAAGCTCGGGGAACCCAGGCCTCTAAGCTGACCTCCGAGGCAGGTGGCAAGACCTCCTGCCCTCACAGGTGAACACTGAAGGCCATGTCCGCCCAGCGGTGTGCCAGACACCCCTCTCTCCCTCCCCCTGGCCCTGAGCCTGGCATCAAGTGGACCCCCACCCGTCAAAGGGCATGGCTGCCAGAGGCCAGGCAGGAGTGGGGTCAGAGGTCAGCACGCACAGAGATGGCAGATGGGTGGCAAGCATGGAGGTGAGCAGGTGGGGCAGCAGGGGGTGACCGTGGTCCTAAGGCCCCCCGGGGGGGGGGCTCTGCTCACAGGGGTGCCAACAGGGGTCCCTTGGGCTCACTCCCGGGCTAGCCCAGAGTGCCATGGGCACAGTGAACAAAGACAGGACCCCTGGGGCACCAGTCCCCAGGGGACACAGCCAGTCCTCACACCCCGGGCCAGGGCCACAGGTAGGACCCCCGCCCCCCTGAGCTTGGAGGTCCTCTGGGGCCTATGCGCACATACACAGGCCTGCGTGGAGCCTGGCGGGTAGGCTGGGCAGGTGACAGGGCTGCCGGGGGGGAGTGGTGGGCTATGCCTGCATGTTGAGTGCGGGTGCAGGTGCGGGAAGAGAGCGTGGGGGGGGGTGTCTTACCACACTTGGAAAACCTCCCCGTCAGCATTTCCATACAGTGGGTGGTGTCTGGGCGCAGGCGGAGAGAGGAGGGCAGAGTGAGAGAACAGCTCCGAGGGCAGCCGGGGTCCGGCCGTCCACAGGACAAGGCCTGGCCCTGCTTCCCTTCTGGCCCTGGCTGTGGACGCAGGACACAGCGGGGCTGGCTCAGCCCTGTGATCGCCCTGGCCCTGGGAGGGCTCGCTGGGTGGACGTGTCTCCTCCCTCTTCAGCTCTCTCCTTCTCCTGGGGGCCCTCTGGGCCTCCCATCCCTGGGGGTGCTGCTGGGGCTGCTGGTATGGAGACCCCCAGATCTCTCTGGGGACTGTTGGAGTATAGGAGGGAGGGGCAAGAGAGGGCAAGGCCCTGGCTACAGGTTCCCCCCTGGAAGGAGGCTCAGGGCCAGTGAGGTACCCCCTGTTTTAGGGAGGACTGGAGAGTGGAGCCCTGTGGACAGGCCCTTAGCCACCTTGGGCACTTTGGGGCCTAGAGCTTGGGGCAAGGGCCCTTGCTGGCGGGTGGTTGGACGGACACCACATGGGGTAGGAATGAGAATGAGGCCTCCCAGCAGGTGCTAGGCCTCCCTGGGCAAGCCCTACCTAGCACAGTGCCCATGGTCTCTACAGCGCCCAGGGCAGCCACAGCTACCCTGTCCTGTGTGCTACCCCGGGACCCCGCCTACTCTGAGAAGTACAACACCTGAGCCCCCTGGACGTCTTTGACCACAGTGCATGTGTTTGAGCCCATCTGAACCCCCTGGAGTGAACCTGAGCCTCCCTCAAAGTACCTGAGTCTACCTGGATGCACCTAAGTATATCTGAGTGTATCTGGCCACACCTGAGTATACCTGAGTGTACCTGGCCACGTCTGAGTATATCTGAGTGTACCTGGCCATGTCTGAACCTACCCGAGTGAACCTTACCACATAGAAGCTTACCTAAGCCTGAGTCCCCCTGAGCCCACATAAGAGTACCTGAGTGTACCTGAATGAATCTTATCACACCTGAACCCACTTGAGCGTACTGGAGACCACTTGAATGTACCTGACTGCACCTGAATATACCTGAGCCCACCTGGCCATACCTGAGTATGCCTGGCCACACCTGTATATCCTTGAGCCCACTTGCATGTACCTGATCACACCTAAACAGACCTTATAACACCTCACCTCTGTGTACCTGAGCCCACCAAAGTACAGGGGCCGGGGTGTACCTGAGCCCACCTGAATGAACCTGAGATCACCTGTGTACTCCTGTTGTCTCCCGCCCCCCATTGTCAGCCTGCTCCCCAGAGAGAGGGCCCCACTCTGCCCACCAGTGGGGTGATGAGGGGCATGAGGTGGGGGGCAGGGTGAGCGACACACAAAACAGAATGTGGATGGCGGGCAGTCGAAATGGGGGCTCTGGCCCCGGACCCCATATGGCAGCACCTCAGGGTCCCGATAAGCCATCTCCTATGACCTGGGCAACAGCCACAGTGCCTGGGTGCCAGGTTTTGCCCCCAAACCCGCAGAATGTGGATAGAATGGAGCCTGTCCTCACCTGCCCAGCCCTCGGCAACCTACTGCATGCACACATGACCCTCCAACCTGACAGCCTGGTGTGCCTGCAAACACATGCGCACACGTGGACAGCCCTCCCCACCGGCCGGCCTCCAGGAGGCACGAGCCTGGGCTCACAGTCTGAGCCCCGTCCCTGCAGTGTCCACTGTGCCTGTCCGCGATGGGGCCCTGGCACCAGGAACAAGATGTAGAGGGCTGAGGGCAGCGCAATGTCAGCCCCCACACAGCCCCTGGGGTGCTAGGTGGGGGGCACCGGGGTGCCCTGCTCACCGGAGGCTTGCCCTCGCCACCTGGACAGGCTGCACTGTGGCCGCTCAGTGGCCAGCAGCTTGGGGCTCCGCCGGTGCGGGGCTTGTGCCCCTGCCCGCAGCCCCTCCCCACGCAGCGGCTAGGCCGGAACCTTACCTGCCAGCGTCAGAGGCTACTCTCGTAGCTGGTGGCCACCTTCTGGCCCTTAAGCACAGCGCCCCAGCTCAGTCCTGGCGCTGGCGGGGGCGTCTCTACAGTGGACAAGAGGCCCCTCTCAGTCCCAAGCAGCGGAGCCTCTCGGCCCCTGGGTGCAGCCAGAGGAGGGCCTGGGGCCGTTGGGGCAGGGGGGGGGCCTGCTCCCTGGGGGCCGGCGACCAGATCCTCATGCCCCCCCATCTGCGTCCCGCTGGCCACAGAGGTGCTGCGGCGCATCCGCTCACCTGACAACTGCTGGGCAGAGGGCTGGTCGTGCGTGCTGAGCAGCTGGGCCTGGATGGTCTCCACCACCCGCTTGAACCGCCGGCTGGGGCCTGCAGGCAGGCAGAGTATCGGTCACCAGGGCAGGGCCGCCTGGGCTTGCCTGCCCGCCCACTGGCCTGCACCTTCGGCTCACCGGACAAGAGTGTGAAGGTGACGGAGTAGATGCCGTTCTCTTTCTGCGCCTCGCCGCCCTCTGTGTAGGTCACGTCCACCTGAAACTTGACCGGCTTCTGGAACACGGCCGGGCCCCCTGTCGACTTGTATTCAGCCCGGAAGCTCGTCTGGGAGATGACGCTGTGGCTGAGGCTGGGGATCTGGGGGGACGTCAGGTGGGGTGAAGCAAGGCCCTGGCCACCACCATCCCCTCCCCCAGGTTTCACAGCCCCAGCCCCCAACAGCCGAGGGGAGCCCCGCCTGCTCCTCCTGCCACGGTGAAGGCTAAAGATGGAATGAAGACCTCAGACACAGCCAGGCCGGGCAGGGTCAGCGAGTGGTGGGCACTGAACCCGGAGGGCACTGGCCCTTCTCGCTTGGGGAGACCTGCTCAGGGAAGGGGTGTCCACGGTGTGTGTGGAGGGGGGCATCTTCAGCTTGCAATGATGTCTTGGAGCAGGAGGGTCAATGACACCGGGTGGGGGGGGTCCAGTGTAAGGTGATGGGGGAGGTGGCTGGGCTTGGCACAGGGGGCCACACAGGGATGGGGCAGGACAGGCTGCAAGGACAAGAGCCTGGCGAGTGGGCCTATGGGCGGGTGGCCTGGAGCCGAGCCTGCAGGAGGCCCTCAGAAAGGGTGATGGACCCAGGGTGGCAGCACTGGGCACCTTGCTCCCTGGGACAGTGTCCTCCATGCCAGCACCTTGGTCCTGGGCGTCAGGGCTGGCTTCGGGGGTCCAGGTGAAGACGCTGAGCCCCCTCGGCCTCCCACTCCCTCCCGAGTCTCTGAGCACCACCACACGGGCTGGCCGGCCCCTCACCGAGAGGAAGGCGTGGACAATGTCAGCCTTGATGGAGCTCAGCGGCTTGTCCCTGATGACCACAAAGATCTGCTCCTCCTTCTCCAGGTTGATGAAGTTCCCGAACCACGACTTCTTAGCCAGCCTGGGGGGCGGGAGGGTCAGTGCTCAGGCTCCAGGGCCCAGGCCCCGTGGCTCTGCCCCTCCTCCTGGGCACTCCCACAGCTGAGCCTGGCAGTGCCTGCTTAAGCTGCCCACAGGAGAGAGCAGGGTGGGGTTCCCAGCCCCTCTCCACTGAGGCGGCTGTTTGAGAAGCAGCAGAGAGGGGGGACGGACAGCTGTGACATCCTGAGAAACGTGCCTCTCCACTCCTCCCCAGGTCCTTGCAGGGACAGATGGCTGAGTGTCAGAGGGCAGAGCCTTGGCAGTCAGTGGGCACATAGTGACTGGGTCTGGACCCCTGCCCCGGAAAGTTATGGCCGCCTTCCCCCACCAAGACAACCTGCAGGCCAAGCCAAAGCCTGCTTGGGGCCTCCAGACCAAGCACTATACCCAGTGTTCCCAGCTGGCCCCCTGCCTGGGCCAGCCTCACCTCCTGGAGTGACCTGCATCTCCTGGCCCAGCAGAGCACTGTCTATGCATCTGAGGCTGAAGCTTCTGGACAAGAGCCCCTCCCACTGACCTTGGACCCTCCATGCAGCCCCACTGCGGACTTCAGGGCACTGCTGGCCTTGGCGCCCTGCCCAGGCCTGGGGCAGCCCCAGCAGAGGCCCCAGAGTGGGGGGTATGCTCCAGGGATGCCCTGGTCCTGGCCTGGGATTCCTGTCCTGTGGGGGGGTCACAGCTCATGGCCACCCCATAGATGTGGTCAGGGTGTCGCTCCTCATGACTGGTGACCAAAGCTGGTGGCTTCTGGCCAGCCGGCAGACTATCCAAACAGCACCTGGTCTTCTGAACTCGGACTGGTGCGCAGTTCACTGCCGGTCATTATGCAGATGGATTCTTGGACTGTGGTTTGGTGAAGGTGGGACTCCGGCCCCGGCCCCGGCCCATGGCATTGAGACACAGTTGTCTAGCACTGACGCCAGCACACTGGACCCTGATACAGACACACCGGCCATCGGTAGTGCTGCCCTGTTGTCCTCATAGCAGGGAATCTGTGTGACTGGGAGCCTCAGTCCTTTCCCCGGAAGCTCGGGGTGGACGCAGGGTCGAGCCCCACTGGCCTATGCGCCCTCATGGTGGGAAGACAGGAGGAGGTGGCCACCGAGGTCACATCCGCCCTGGTGCCACAGGCAGACACCCGTACGTCCTGGCTGGGACGTCCTTGCTCCCTGTCCACCTCCGTTCACCTGGGCTGTTCCTGTCCTGCGGCAGTCTTCTGACCATGCCTGGACTGCCATCATGTGTGTGTTGTGAGGGGACAGAGTGTAGGGGGGCATCCTCCACTTGCTCCTGGGATCCTGGCCACAGACAGGGTCCCCCGATCCACCCCCACCTCTAGATCCTGCCAGCTTCCAGCCCCCTTGTCCGACCTGCCGCCCCACCCCCCCTAGCCCACACAGGTGACAGGCAGCTGTGGACAGATGCAGGGCAGCTGGATGCTTTCAGGAGCCAAAGGGCACCCGCCTCGACTCCCTGAAGGAGGAAGAAGATGGTCAGTCGATGAGAGGTGCTTCTAATCTGGGGCCCTGTGGAGGGGCCTCAGCTGGCAGGCCCTTGGGGAGCAGTCACAGGGCCCTTGGTGGGCAAGGCCTTACTGAGAGGAGTGGGCCTCCTCCATCACAGGCTGGCTTGGTTTGCTTTTAGAATATTCTGGAAAAGAGAACAGCGGCAGATCGAAACTCAAGGGCCCAGAGGGTTAGTGCTGGCCTGTGAGCTGGAGGGTTGGCAGTTCAGGCCCACCAGCTGCTCTGTCGGGGAGTGAGCGGGTGGTCGGCTTGTGTGACATCCACAGGCGCCCTCTGAGGCACCTCTACGCTGTCCCACAGGTCCCCATGGGGCCAGACTTGACCTGTGGCACCCTGCAGCGTCAGAGCAGGACCAAGGCAGTGCTGTGTCCTACAGGGCAAGCAGGAGGACCCGACCGGCCGGGTTCCCAGCCATCGGCTCTCAGGTGCAGTCATCCGCCGTGTGCTGCTGAACGGGTTTAGGGGAGCTTCCAGACTATGACAGTCTAGGAATAAAGGCCTGGCCGTCGACCCCCGGGAAGCAGCCAGTGAAAACCCATTGGGTCACCATGGTCCGATCCCACTGCTCTGTGCTGTGCACGGGCTGCCACGTCCACCAGGGCATCTGAGCAGCCACTCAACAAGAGTCGGTGGGCACCACGGTCCCCAGAAAGATGCCCCCCAGCCTCCCTCTGGTCCGCAGCGGCCATCTAAGGTGAGTCTGTCGGCCTCTCCCCCTTGCAGAGCAAAGAGGATCAGGAAAACTAAAGACCCAAGGAATCACTGGATGACTAATGGACTGCGAGAACATCACCGGCCACTACCCTGAGATCAGAAGAACCCAGATGGTGCCCAGTGATTGCTTTGAAGAACGAGGTCAAGTGGACCGAGCAGGAGAAACGGTGGAACAAAACTCAACATGCTAAAAACAGACCAGATGACTGGGTGCACGGAGACGGACGGAGCCCCTAACACACTGGCCCTTTGTCGCCTTGCAGCCCTGGAATTGAACTCACCACCGCGACTCACAGATGAACAACCACTAGTAGAGGTACCACTCCTTAGAGCCATCAGCCCCTCTAAACCGAAAGGGCAACACTGACCCAAGGACAAAGGTCAGAGGGCAGATGGCAACAGGAAGCACAGGGATGCAGCGGGGGATGAGGGACGTCCCCAGAGGGAACGACAGTGGACGAGATGTATCCACTGCTGAAGGCGGCAACGGCCTCCTCAGGAAACCTTCCCCGGATCGATGCACAGGGAAAAGAGAGGGGAGGGTGATACCAGCTTGTGGACGGCAGGACTCGAGGCCAGATGATGCCAACCCTCCCCTGAGGCATGGACAGTGCCTGGCCTGGGCAGGCACTCCAGCAGGGAGGGGCCGGGTCCAAGTCTCAGGCTGCCTTGCTGGGGGCTGTGTGGACCTAGCGGCTCCGCCTGGCACCTCACGTCGAGCTCATGACTAGATCCACACCTTCATCTAAAGAGCTGTCTTTGGGCATCTGCTGCCCCTGCCCGCAGTCCCAGCTGCCATGGTGGGCGGCGGTCTCAATGCACGCCTGCTGCCATCCCTGCCCCTCCACCCGTGCCGGCTGCACCTTGCTCCTCCCACTGGCCATCACGATGCACCGCGGGGTCCCTCTTCTGATGGCTGAGTGGACAGGCCACCTTGTGTCCGTCCAGCCCTCGGGTGTGTCCACTCCTGGCTCGTCCTTCTTGCTCTCCCAGCACTGTCTTTGGGGCCCCCACCTGTGGCCCCCTGGACCACACTGTCCTCTCCAGGAAGCTGGAGAGGCCTCTGTGGGCAGGCAGGGCGAGGTCTCCCCAAGGTGGGCCTCTGACCAGGTGAGAGCGTCCTGCGGGGACGAGCGCTCCGGGCCACGGCAGGACCGGGTGCAGGGCCCAGGGGCCTGTGTGAGCACCGAGCAGCCACCCGTTTCATCCTGTCTTCCGTCCCTCCTTCGAAGCATCTGGGAGCACTGTGCGCTCGCCCCTCCGAGTTCCTGCTGTGTGTGTCCTCCCCTGCGCTGGCCCCGCCGGGGAGCTGCCTGAGTGGGGCTCGCAGAGCCCTGGGCAGGGGTCCAGGCTGCTGGTTCTGGGTCTGTGCCGAAACTCTGTGCCGGGACTGGACTTCCTGGCCGGTCCCATGTTGGTGTGCCCACGGGGGCTTCCTGGGTATCCGTTGTCCATGCTGGGTCCCTGGGTGTCCATTATCTGTGCCAGGTTCCATGGGCGTCCATGTGTTCTTATCAGGTCTCCTGGGCATCTGTCTGTTCTGGGGCTCCTGGGTGAGGGGCTCCTGGGTGTAAGTCCATGTGTCTATGGCAGGTCCCTGGGCATCTTTGTGGCTGTACCAAGGCCCCAGACAACCATGTGGCTGTGCCAGGTATCCTGAGTGTCCATGTGTATGTCCTGGGTCCCTGGGCATCTGTGTGTCCATGCAGGACCCCTGGGTGTCCATGTGTCTATATCAGGGGTTCCTTGATATTCGTGCATCTGTGCCTGGTCCTCTGGGGGTCTGTTGTCCATGCCTGGTCTCCTTAGCCAGTTGTCCATGCCTGGTCCCCTGGGCATCTGTATTGGGTCCCTGAGTATCCATGTGTCTTTGTCAGGGGTCCCCGAGGGTCTGTGTGTCCATGCTGGGTCTCTTGGAGGCTCCTGGCCACACGGCCTACTGGGGGGCAGAGGGCTCAAGAGCCTCTTGCCAACTCCAAGAACTCAGATAATCAGGCCGCTTCTTGTGCTTGGCAAGCCCCTCCAGGACCCGGAAGCCGGCAGAGAAGGCGGCCGCTGGGTGCCCAGTGTGTCTGGACAGTGCCATCCACCCCATGGCTATGTGTGTCCCAGAAAAGAGCCACTGGGTCAGCACAGGGCCCTGGCTGGGTGAGGAGCCCCCATATCACCCACTCTCCCACCCCCCTCCCCTGGCACCTCCCCTCAACCACCCTCAGCCCTACTCAGGAGCCTGGCAGGACCCCGGCTAGTGCTGGTTGCTAGGCTGGGTCCCCTCCTAACCCCGTGGTGTGAGGACTGGTCTGTGGATGGGGACAGAGAGGGCACCAGGGGGCAGGCAGGGGCCTTCCAGGAGGCACTGCTACCCCCATTCAGGCCCAGGGGCATGTGTCCAGCCCAGCACAGGGAGCTCTCCCTAGCCCCACCCCAGCCCCGCCCTGGCCACTTACTCTGGGGAAGACTCCGGGGTCAGGTTGGACATCTCCTCTGGGGTAGGGACTGCACGCGGCCGGCAGGGAGAGAAGAGCGGTGACCACCAGCCAGCTGGGGAAGCTGACCCCACACCATGCCGCCCCTCCCTCAGGCCAGCCCAGGACCCAGCCCTGAAGGCAGGAGGCCAGCCCAGGAACTATCCATTCCCCGGTGCTGAAGATCCCGCCCTCCTGCTCTGGATACCAGCTCCTGCATCCGGACATGCTGTAGCGCCCAGCCCATAGGCCCCCTGACCCTGGACCTTCCCGGCTGCCCTCATCCACCCTTGCCCCTGGGGTTTCGGTAGGGAATGGCCTGGGCAGAAAGTAGCCGCAAAGGGGCTGCAGTGCCCCGCCGCGCCCCGGGGACCAGCTCTGCTGTGTGCCCCCAGGCGGTGGTGATCGAGGGTGTGGACCCTCCCCAGACCCCCACCTTGCAATTTCCGGCGGTGGAAGCGGGGCGAGCCCAGGAAACTGTTCTTGATGGAGTTCAGCCGCGTCCTCCAGGGCACGCCCCCGACGCTGGGGCTGGACGGCGGAGTGGGGGTGGGCGTGCCCGCCGGGCTCTCCTTTGGCGTGTGGACTGGCGTCCCCTTGGGAGTGGGGAGGGGACTGCCCCTCGGAGAGGGGTGAGGGGTCACCTGTATGGCAGGGACAGATTGGGTGTTTGCGTCGGTCCCGGGCTGCGGGGGCCTGGCGGGGGCCGGCGGGCCCGGGGGC